GGTGACTGTTGCAGTGCCTCTTGGCTGTTACATAGTACGGTGACTGTTGCAGTGCCTCATGGCTGTTACATAGTACGGTGACTGTAGCAGTGTCTCTTGGCTGTTACATAGTACGGTGACTGTTGCAGTGCCTCATGGCTGTTACATAGTACGGTGACTGTTGCAGCATCTCTTGGATGTTACACAGTACGGTGACTGTAGCAGTGTCTCTTGGCTGTTACATAGTACGGTGACTGTAGCAGTGCCTCTTGGCTGTTACACAGTACGGTGACTGTGGCAGTGTCTCTTGGCTGTTACACAGTGAGGTGACTGTAGCAGTGTCTTTTGGCTGTTACACAGTACGGTGACTGTAACAGTGTCTCTTGGCTGTTACACAGTACGGTGACTGTTGGAGCGTCTCTTGGCTGTTACACAGTACGGTGACTGTTGCAGCGTCTCTTGGCTGTTATACACTGCGGTGACTGTTGCAGTGTCTCTTGGCTGTTACATAGTACGGTGACTGTAGCAGTGTCTCTTGGCTGTTACACAGTACGGTGACTGTAGCAGTGTCTCTTGGCTGTTACACAGAACGGTGACTGTTGGAGCGTCTGTTGGCTGTTACACAGTACGGTGACTGTAACAGTGTCTCTTGGCTGTTACATAGTATGGTGACTGTAGCAGTGTCTCTTGGCTGTTACACAGTACGGTGACTGTTGCAGTGCCTCTTGGCTGTTACACAGTACGGTGACTGTAGCAGTGTCTCTTGGCTGTTACCCAGTACGGTGACTGTAACAGTGTCTCTTGGCTGTTACACAGTACGGTGACTGTAACAGTGTCTCTTGGCTGTTACATAGTACGGTGACTGTTGCAGCGTCTCTTGGCTGTTACATAGTATGGTGACTGTAACAGTGTCTCTTGGCTGTTACACAGTACGGTGACTGTAGCAGTGTCTCTTGGCTGTTACACAGTACGGTGACTGTTGCAGTGTCTCTTGGCTGTTACACAGAACGGTGACTGTTGGAGCGTCTGTTGGCTGTTACACAGTACGGTGACTGTTGCAGCGTCTCTTGGCTGTTATACACTGCGGTGACTGTAACAGTGTCTCTTGGCTGTTACACAGTATGGTGACTGTAACAGTGTCTCTTGGCTGTTACACAGAACGGTGACTGTTGGAGCGTCTCTTGGCTGTTACACAGTACGGTGACTGTAACAGTGTCTCTTGGCTGTTACACAGTATGGTGACTGTAACAGTGTCTCTTGGCTGTTACACAGAACGGTGACTGTTGGAGCGTCTCTTGGCTGTTACACAGTATGGTGACTGTAACAGTGTCTCTTGGCTGTTACATAGTACGGTGACTGTAGCAGTGTCTCTTGGCTGTTACACAGTTCGGTGACTGTAACAGTGTCTCTTGGCTGTTACACAGTATGGTGACTGTAGCAGTGTCTCTTGGCTGTTACACAGTGAGGTGACTGTAGCAGTGTCTCTTGGCTGTTACACAGTACGGTGACTGTAGCAGCGTCTCTTGGCTGTTACACAGTACGGTGACTGTAGCAGTGTCTCTTGGCTGTTACACAGTACGGTGACTGTAACAGTGTCTCTTGGCTGTTACACAGTACGGTGACTGTAGCAGTGTCTCTTGGCTGTTACACAGTACGGTGACTGTAGCAGTGTCTCTTGGCTGTTACACAGTGAGGTGACTGTAGCAGTGTCTCTTGGCTGTTACACAGTACGGTGACTGTAGCAGTGTCTCTTAGCTGTTACACAGTACGGTGACTGTAGCAGCGTCTCTTGGCTGTTACACAGTACGGTGACTGTAGCAGTGTCTCTTGGCTGTTACACAGTACGGTGACTGTAACAGTGTCTCTTGGCTGTTACATAGTACGGTGACTGTAGCAGCGTCTCTTGGCTGTTACACAGTACGGTGACTGTAGCAGTGTCTCTTGGCTGTTACACAGTACGGTGACTGTAGCAGTGTCTCTTGGCTGTTACACAGTGAGGTGACTGTAGCAGTGTCTCTTGGCTGTTACACAGTACGGTGACTGTAGCAGTGTCTCTTGGCTGTTACACAGTACGGTGACTGTAGCAGTGTCTCTTGGCTGTTACACAGTGAGGTGACTGTAGCAGTGTCTTTTGGCTGTTACACAGTACGGTGACTGTAACAGTGTCTCTTGGCTGTTACACAGTACGGTGACTGTTGGAGCGTCTCTTGGCTGTTACACAGTACGGTGACTGTTGCAGCGTCTCTTGGCTGTTATACACTGCGGTGACTGTTGCAGTGTCTCTTGGCTGTTACATAGTACGGTGACTGTAGCAGTGTCTCTTGGCTGTTACACAGAACGGTGACTGTTGGAGCGTCTGTTGGCTGTTACACAGTACGGTGACTGTAACAGTGTCTCTTGGCTGTTACATAGTACGGTGACTGTTGCAGCGTCTCTTGGCTGTTACATAGTATGGTGACTGTAACAGTGTCTCTTGGCTGTTACACAGTACGGTGACTGTAGCAGTGTCTCTTGGCTGTTACATAGTACGGTGACTGTAGCAGTGTCTCTTGGCTGTTACACAGTACGGTGACTGTAGCAGCGTCTCTTGGCTGTTACACAGTACGGTGACTGTTGGAGCGTCTCTTGGATGTTACACAGTACGGTGACTGTTGCAGCGTCTCTTGGCTGTTATACACTGCGGTGACTGTAACAGTTTCTCTTGGCTGTTACACAGTATGGTGACTGTAACAGTGTCTCTTGGCTGTTACACAGAACGGTGACTGTTGGAGCGTCTCTTGGCTGTTACACAGTACGGTGACTGTAACAGTGTCTCTTGGCTGTTACACAGTATGGTGACTGTAACAGTGTCTCTTGGCTGTTACACAGAACGGTGACTGTTGGAGCGTCTCTTGGCTGTTACACAGTATGGTGACTGTAACAGTGTCTCTTGGCTGTTACATAGTACGGTGACTGTAGCAGTGTCTCTTGGCTGTTACACAGTTCGGTGACTGTAACAGTGTCTCTTGGCTGTTACACAGTACGGTGACTGTAGCAGTGTCTCTTGGCTGTTACACAGTACGGTGACTGTAGCAGTGTCTCTTGGCTGTTACACAGAACGGTGACTGTTGGAGCGTCTGTTGGCTGTTTCACAGTACGGTGACTGTAACAGTGTCTCTTGGCTGTTACATAGTATGGTGACTGTAGCAGTGTCTCTTGGCTGTTACACAGTACGGTGACTGTTGCAGTGCCTCTTGGCTGTTACACAGTACGGTGACTGTAGTAGTGTCTCTTGGCTGTTACCCAGTACGGTGACTGTAACAGTGTCTCTTGGCTGTTACATAGTATGGTGACTGTAACAGTGTCTCTTGGCTGTTACATAGTACGGTGACTGTTGCAGCGTCTCTTGGATGTTACACAGCATGGTGACTGTAGCAGTGTCTCTTGGCTGTTACACAGTACGGTGACTGTAACAGTGTCTCTTGGCTGTTACATAGTACGGTGACTGTTGCAGCGTCTCTTGGCTGTTACATAGTATGGTGACTGTAACAGTGTCTCTTGGCTGTTACACAGTACGGTGACTGTAGCAGTGTCTCTTGGCTGTTACACAGTACGGTGACTGTAGCAGCGTCTCTTGGCTGTTACACAGTACGGTGACTGTTGCAGCGTCTCTTGGCTGTTATACACTGCGGTGACTGTAACAGTGTCTCTTGGCTGTTACACAGTATGGTGACTGTAACAGTGTCTCTTGGCTGTTACACAGAACGGTGACTGTTGGAGCGTCTCTTGGCTGTTACACAGTACGGTGACTGTAACAGTGTCTCTTGGCTGTTACACAGTATGGTGACTGTAACAGTGTCTCTTGGCTGTTACACAGAACGGTGACTGTTGGAGCGTCTCTTGGCTGTTACACAGTATGGTGACTGTAACAGTGTCTCTTGGCTGTTACATAGTACGGTGACTGTAGCAGTGTCTCTTGGCTGTTACACAGTTCGGTGACTGTAGCAGTGTCTCTTGGCTGTTACACAGTACGGTGACTGTAGCAGTGTCTCTTGGCTGTTACACAGTACGGTGACTGTAGCAGCGTCTCTTGGCTGTTACACAGTACGGTGACTGTAGCAGTGTCTCTTGGCTGTTACACAGTACGGTGACTGTAGCAGCGTCTCTTGGATGTTACACAGTACGGTGACTGTTGGAGCGTCTCTTGGCTGTTATACACTGCGGTGACTGTAGCAGTGTCTCTTGGCTGTTACACAGTACGGTGACTGTTGGAGTGTCTCTTGGCTGTTACACAGTACGGTGACTGTAGCAGTGTCTCTTGGCTGTTACACAGTACGGTGACTGTAGCAGCGTCTCTTGGCTGTTACACAGTACGGTGACTGTTGGAGTGTCTCTTAGCTGTTACACAGTACGGTGACTGTAGCAGTGTCTCTTGGCTGTTACATAGTGAGGTGACTGTAGCAGTGTCTCTTGGCTGTTACATAGTACGGTGACTGTAGCAGTGTCTCTTGGCTGTTACACAGTACGGTGACTGTAGCAGTGTCTCTTGGCTGTTACATAGTGAGGTGACTGTAGCAGTGTCTCTTGGCTGTTACACAGTACGGTGACTGTAGCAGTGTCTCTTGGCTGTTACACAGTACGGTGACTGTAGCAGTGTCTCTTGGCTGTTACACAGTACGGTGACTGTTGGAGCGTCTCTTGGCTGTTACACAGTGAGGTGACTTTAGCAGTGTCTCTTGGCTGTTACACAGTACGGTGACTGTAACAGTGTCTCATGGCTGTTACATAGTACGGTGACTGTTGCAGTGCCTCTTGGCTGTTACATAGTACGGTGACTGTTGCAGTGCCTCATGGCTGTTACATAGTACGGTGACTGTTGCAGCATCTCTTGGATGTTACATAGTAAGATGACTGTTGCAGCATCTCTTGGCTGTCATATAGTACGCTAAGTAGGCTTAGATTATTAGATTGTACTTCCATTGCCCTGTAACCAATGACAGTACCATCATGACCCTATATCAGCATTCACGTCTTGTTTCCAGATGACGAGATACATCTTCGGACGGGCGCTGGGTCTCACTGTGTTTGTCACACTCTGCTGTACCGTCACCGCAAACGGTAAGTGGCTATAGTAGTGTCACATGCTAGATGTGAGGCAGTTAGTATTACTTTGAGCTGATGGGTTATGACAATATATGACATGTTGTATAATATGACCAAATCTGAGATATGTTGGTGTGATATTACTCGATAAAACCCTTTCCACATACATGAGAAATCTGAGGAACAATGGTACAATTCACAATTGGGAATTACATCATGTTTGTCACGCGCCAATTTGGGAAATTGCCTCTACATTTCTACCTTAGAACTTTTTGAAAGCATTACTGAGGCCTTGAATGTTGCAGTGTTACGCTCTTTGAATTCTCCATTGAAAGAGCATGCTCGCTTGTACCCCCAAAGTTGTGAAATATGTAGACAACAACGGTTGGTGCTGCTTGAATATTGCTCAGTTTGAAGGGAAAGTTGACTGTTGGAAAGCTGAAGTCATCCCTCTTGTCTTACAGTCTTGTGGAGAGTGTTTTGCCACTCTGAGTCTTTATGCATAGATCTAAATATGAAACAGGTGAAGTGGTCTCACTGGTCTCATTTAGTTTCAGTTCAGGTGGGTAAATAAGTGGAGTGAGTGAGTGAGTATGGTTTTACACCGCTTTTGGCAATATTCAAGCAATATCACGGCATGGTACACCACTTCACACATTGTACCCATGTCGGGAATCGAACCCGGGTCTTCGTCGTGACAAGCGAACGCTTTAACCACTAAGCTACCCTACTGCTCCTAATTACGTTGGAAGGTATTGGAAGTTATTGAACGATATCAAATCATCGATATCCCTGAAGGTTTAGATAAACTTCTTGGCCAAAGTACACGTGTTTGTGTGATATGGCTAGTGTCGAAATGCCTGCCGCGGGACTGTCTGGTCAACCATTAGATTGTTTGGTCGAGACTCGATTGTTCAAAGGCCGCCGTCGTGAGGTAAGAGTGCTGCTATGAAGCGTCAGGCAACACACACGTACACGTACCGCCGTTAGGGCAGGACATGCTGACCCTTTTCTCAACACCTTGTGTCATTTAGTATCATATGGGAAAATGTGACTCGTGGTGGTTCGATATGACTGACTGACTGACTGACTGAGAATGGTTTTACGCCGCTTTTAGCAATATTCCAGCAATATCACGGCGGGGGACACCAGAAATGGGCTTCACACATTGTACCCATGTCGGGAATCGAACCCGGGTCTTCGGCGTGACGAGCGAACGCTTTAACCACTAGGCTACCCGACCGCCTTTCGATATGACTAGACATGACACAGTATTTCACGAAAATATTGTTCAGTAAAGTTTGAACCCATCCCAAGGCAATATTTCTTTATGTGACACAATGCTATATTTTGATAACTGATTCTTAAATCAAATCTAAACTTATTGTAACAAGATACTGCACACGTCCTTTAAAGACCTGTCAAGTAGAGATCTTTCCTATTGCGTCTACCAACATTTCTGAAAATACCTCAATCCTTTACATGAAAGCTAGGATATTATAGTGAGTGAGTGAGTGAGTGAGTGAGTGAGTTGGGTTTAACGCAACTTCTAACAGTATTCAAGCTATATCGCGGCGTGTCAGCTAAATGTGGGAGGAAAGCCCGAAGTGATGCAGGTCTCAGACGTTTACCACATCGGTAAAACCCACGAGCACGGGTATGGAGCTGACAAACCTAGAAACATAATCGGGGCGAACCGGGATTCGAACCCACAATCATAGGTTTCTGGGGTGCCCAAGGGACGCAGCTCTGAAAAGCGAATCGCGGCGCCTTAGACGACTGGGCCACCCGTGCCCCCAGGATAATATAGAAATGTACCATCGATCTAATCGGTATATATGCATTCGACCGTGTCAGGGAAACATTACTGGATTCTACGCTGCTGTACAGCAAAACCTCACAGGTGTAAAGTCAATTTGAACGATCTGACGATCTGTACAGACTGCAATAGACTTTACATCTGTTTGTGGTAACTGTGTCTTGTGTTACAGACTTCCAAACTATTTGCGGTGACTGCGTCTACAAAGGAGGGGCCGGCTACGTGAACGACCCCTCGAGCTGCTACGGATTCTTCGAATGTGACGAGGCAACCGGACAGTATACCCTTCTCCGTTGTCCCTCGGGGATGTCCTGGGATGACAGCGTGTGGTCCTGTGTAGGGGACCCATCGTGTGTTTACCCCAGTAAGTCCATACTAAGATTCTATCTAAGCCTCTGTGTACACCTTTACAAGTGAATACTAGTAACTTGATGTTTGGGTAGCATACCTGTACTAAGCATTTTCTATCTCCAGCGTCTTAGTAAGTCTGCAAAGACGACTTAGCGCATTACCCAGACTATTTGTGATGAAAGTGAACCAAACGATATTTGTTGTTTCAGCATCTCCCACTACAACACCAGGTAAGTAAACGTCTCATCAAATGTCTCCTGTGGTAATCGGGCTCCATCACTCCTAGGAATATAGTATGTAGTAGAACTTAGAAGTAAAACAAAGTAACTAGCGGTATGTCTGTGTGTTACTTGGTACTTAGCAGAAGCAGATGGAAGTAACTAGCGGTATATCTGTGTTATACTTGGTACTTAGCAGAAGCAGATGGAAGTAACTAGCGGTATGTCTGTGTTATACTTGGTACTTAGGAGAAGCGGATGAAAGTAACCAGCGGTATGTCTGTGTTACACTTGGTACTCAGTAGAAGCAGATGAAAGTAACTAACAGTATGTTTGTGTTATACTTGGTACTCAGTAGAAGCAGATGGAAGTAACTAGAGGTATGTCTGTGGAATACTTGGTACTTAGTAGAAGCAGATCAAAGTAACTAGCGGTATATCCGTGTTATACTTGGTACTTAGTAGAAGCAGGTGGAAGTAACTAACGGTATGTCTGTGTTACACTTGGTACTTAGTAGAAGCAGATGAAAGTAACTAACAGTATGTCTGTGTTATACTTGGTACTCAGTAGAAGCAGATCAAATTAACTAGCGGTATGTCTGTGTTATACTTGGTACTCAGTAGAAGCAGATGAAAGTAACTAGCGGTATGTCTGTGTTATACTTGGTACTCAGTAGAAGCAGATGAAAGTAACTAGCGGTATGTCCGTGTTATACTTGGTACTTAGTAGAAGCAGATGAAAGTAACTAGCGGTATGTCTGTGTTATACTTGGTACTTAGTAGAAGCAGATGGAAGTAATTAACGGTATGTCTGTGTTATTCTTGGTACTTAGTAGAAGCAGATGAAAGTTACTAGCGGTATGTCTGTGTTATACTTGGTACTTAGTAGAAGCAGATCGAAGTAACTAGCGGTATGTCTGTGTTATACTTGGTACTTAGTAGAAGCAGATGAAAGTTACTAGCGGTATGTCTGTGTTATACTTGGTACTTAGTAGAAGCAGATCAAATTAACTAGCGGTATGTCTGTGTGTTACTTGGTACTTAGTAGAAGCAGATCAAAGTAACTAGCGGGATGTCTGTGTTACACTTGGTACTTAGTAGAAGCAGATCAAAGTGAATAGCGGTATGTCCGTGTTATACTTGATACTTAGTAGCAGCAGATGAAAGTGAATAGCGGTATGTCTGTGTTATACCTGGTACTTAGTAGAAGCAGATCAAAGTAACTAGCGGTATGTCTGTGTTATACTTGGTACTAAGTAGAAGCAGATGAAAGTAACTAGCGGTATGTCTGTGTTATACTTGGTACTTAGTAGAAGCAGATCAAAGTCTGTCTTATACTTGGTACTTAGTAGAAGCAGATCAAAGTGAATAGCGGTATGTCTGTCTTATACTTGGTACTTAGTAGAAGCAGATCAAAGTGAATAGCGGTATGTCTGTCTTATATTTGGTACTTAGTAGAAGCAGATCAAAGTGAATAGCGGTATGTCTGTGTTATACTTGGTACTTAGTAGAAGCAGACCAAAGTGAATAGCGGTATGTCTGTGTGTAACCAGGTGGTAAGAAAGTCTACACTCGTATATAGCGGCAGTACACAAGGTGATACGTTTATAGTTTGATGACCAATTTTTATATGTTCAACAGATCCATGTACTTTCATAAGTGCAGACCCAGCAAACCCTGCCGGTTTCTTGATAACATCAAACGGCATCGTCTCCAAAATGAACTGCGCTCCCGGAAGTCTATACGACTCCACTGTCTGCAAATGTGCCATACGAACAACCGTCGTCCCACCACAACGTGAGTGACTGGTCAGAATATATACCGGGGGATGGGTGTGGAACAAAATATGACAACAGTCCTAACGCCAATCTCACAGCCCCCTCCCCTCATAATACACGATCAGCCCCTTATGTAGACAAGGTGCCACATTGTGACGTAATATAGTAATATAGTAATATAGCAATATAGTATAATAGCAATATAGCAATATAGCAATATAGTAATATAGTGTTATAGTAATATAGTAATAAAGTAATATAGTAATATAGCAATATAGTAATATAGTAATATAGTAATATAGAATTATAGTCATTTAGAATTATAGTAATATAGCAATATAGCAATATAGTAACATAGTAATATAGAATTATAGTGATATAGTAATATAGTAATATAGTAATATAGTGATATAGTAATATAGTAATATAGTAATATAGTAATATAGCATATGTATATCGCATCTTATATTTAGTTTATTTAACCTGTGTACATCGTATATCACCGGCCAGCGTTACTGTTCACCCCAAATATAGGTAATACCCATGCACGGTGTGGGTTTGACTCAGGCACAGTAATATCTACTGTCAAATGTGTTCAGTGTTCCCTGATGCTGTCTGTAGCGATGTAGTCCATATGTATGTATGTATGTATGTTTGACAGCATGCACGGATGACCTGTTCATTCCGTGTGCTGTGGACACCAAGGATCACTCCGGCAACATGGTCTGGGTGGCCAATACCGGCGTCACCCTGGCAACTGTCATGGGTAGGACTTACAGCGCTTGCCGCTTTGCTGGAGGTGCTTACCTCAGTGTCCCCTTCTTTAAGAACAACGATTTAGGGGACAACTGGACGATCAAGTTCAACTATCAATCCACCAGTGTTGGTGGAACTCGCGTCCTCGTCAGTAACAGCATGTGCAGCGGCGTGTCGCCGAGTGTGGAGGTGACACATGTGGGAAAAAAAGTTTGCGTCAACCTCCAAACCACCGGCGGCCCCGTCACACTCTGCGCTCCCAATACAGTAAGCATGCCCTGGTACATTCGTCATATAGCGGTTCGCGTTCCATCCATTGGATCCTTGTCATTGCATCCATGTTCTACCTTTGAATGGTGAAGTCATTGCATCCGTGTTCCAATGTTGAATAATGAAGTCATTGCTTCAATGTTCTATCGTTGAATAGCGAGCAATTACTTGACGTTAGATAGTGAAGTCATTGCATCAATGTTCTGACGTTGAATAGTGAAGTCATTGCATCAATGTTCTGACGTTGAATAAGGAAGTCATTGCATCCATGTTCTGACGTTGAATAAGGAAGTCATTGCATCCATGTTCAAATGTTGAATAGCGAGCAATTACTTCAATGTTCTAATGTTGAATAGTGAAGTCATTGCATCAATGTTCCAATGTTGAATAATGAAGTCATTGCATCAATGTTCTGTCGTTGAATAGTGTGGTTGTCAATACATCTATGTTCTGACGTTAGATAGTGAAGTCATTGCATCCATGTTCTGACGTCGAATAAGGAAGTCATTGCATCCATGTTCTGACGTTGAATAAGGAAGTCATTGCATCCATGTTCAAATGTTGAATAGCGAGCAATTACTTCAATGTTCTAATGTTGAATAGTGAAGTCATTGCATCAATGTTCCAATGTTGAATAATGAAGTCATTGCATCAATGTTCTGTCGTTGAATAGTGTGGTTGTCAATACATCTATGTTCTGACGTTAGATAGTGAAGTCATTGCATCCATGTTCTGACGTCGAATAAGGAAGTCATTGCATCCATGTTCTGACGTCAAATAAGGAAGTCATTGCATCCATGTTCTGACGTTGAATAAGGAAGTCATTGCATCCATGTTTTGACGTTGAATAGTGAAGTGATTGCATCAATGTGCTAACGTTAAATTGTGAATGTCATTGCATCAATGTTCTAACGTTGAATGGTGACGTAATTGCATCCTTATTCTAACGTTGAATAGTGAAGTCATTGCATCAATTTGAATAGTGAAGTCATTGCATCCATGTTCTAACGTTGAATAGTGAAGTTATTGCATGAATTTGAATAGTGAAGTCATTGCATCATTGTTCTAACGTTCCATAGTGAGTAATTACATCCATGTTCTAACGTTGAATAGTGAATAATTACATCCATGTTGTAACGTTGACTAGTGAATAATTACATCCATGGTGTAACGTTGAATAGTGAATTATTACACCCATGTTGTAACGTTGAATAGTGAAGTCATTGCATCAATTTGAGTAGTGAAGTCATTGATTGCATCAGTGTTCTAACGTTGAATAGTAAATAATTACATCCATGTTGTAACGTTAAATAGTGAATAATTACATCCATGTTGTAACTTTGAATAGTAAATAATTACATCCATGTTGTAACGTTAAATAGTGAATAATTACATCCATGTTTAAACGTTGAATAGCGAAATCATTGCATCAATGTCCCAACTTGGAATAGTGAAGTCATTGCATCCATGCGCTAACGTTGAATAGTCAGTAAATAACATCAATGTTCTTACGTTGAATAGTGAAGTAATAAACGTATATGTCTTGCCAAATATTCTGCATAGTTGTGTGTTTTCAATTACAAAAGGTAATAGTGACACACCTTGACATTATGCACCCTTCTCGCTCAGGGCACCCCGGCACCAAACCTTCCTTATATTCCGGTAACGGTGAAGGTGAACAACGGACAACTGATACTCGTCAACGGTCTAAATGTCGTCACCAAGCTAGTCCCTGGTAAGAATGTACTCACTATGCATGCAGACAGCTGAGTATTCTTGGGCACTCTACATTTGGAGGGTAATTAGGTTGGAAGTGTGTATTTGTGCAGTGTGTAGTGTGTAGTGCATATGTGTGTAGTGTGTACTTTTGTAGTATGTACTTGTGTAGTGTGTAGTGTAGACTTGTGTAGTGTGTACGTGTGTGGTGTGTACATGTGTAGTGTATACTTGTGTTGTGTGTAGTGTATATTTGTGTAGTGTGTACTTGTGCAGTATGTACTTGTGTAGTGTGTAGTGTGTACTTGTGTAGTGTGTACTTGTGTAGTGTATACCTGTATAGTGTGTACTTGTGTATTGTATACTTGTGTAGTGTATTGTTCCGTTGTGTATAGTTGTGTAGTGTGTACCTGTGTAGTGTGTTCGTTGTGTAGTGTGTACTTGTGTATTGTATACTTGTGCAGTGTATTGTTGTGTAGTATATATTTGTGTAGTGTGTACTTGTGTAGTGTGTACTTGAGTAGTGTGTAGTGTATAGTTGTGTAGTGTGTACTTGTGTAGTGTACAGTTGTGTTTATGTGCACTTGTGTAGTGCATACTTGTTTGATGTGAAGTGTGCACTTATGCAGGGTGTCAATGTGTAGTGTATACTTGTGTAGTGTATACTTGTGTAGTGTATACTTGTGCAGTGTGTCTTTGTGTAGTGTATACTTGTGTAATGTATACTTGTGTAGCGTATACTTGTGTAGTGTATACTTGTGCAGTGTGTCTTTGTGTAGTGGGCACTTGTGTAATGTATACTTGTGTAGTATATACGTGTGAAGTGTATACAATGATCCATTCAACAATATCATTAAACTTTTTACAAAATCGATTTCCGGAAATACGTTTCACAAAACTATGCCATCATTCTATTCTTAACTACATGTTCACTAAATGATTCTCTTTAAAAGATTGTATTTCCACGCTGGTGTGTTGACAGCTGCTATTTCACACCAGCAGGAAGTCATTGTTATTTGTTTCACTGTAAAATGTCAACAGAAAAATAAATTTATAAATAAAAACAGAAAGGTTTTATGTTCAAGTCAAACTAGCATTCACTGTTGCCGTACAAGTCAGTGTCCTTAAAGATGTAGACCTGCTAAGTTTGAACCAAGCTTTTGAACCTTTTGTCACGGAATTGATCTGCTTCAGCTGACGTTATTCAATCCTGTGTCACGGAATTGACCTCCTTCAGCTGACGTTATTAAACCCCGTGCTACGGAATTGATCAGTTTCAGCTGACGTTATAAAACCTTTTGTTACGGATTTGACCTCCTTCAGCTGACGTTATTAAACCCCGTGCTACGCAATTGATCAGTTTCAGCTGACGTTATAAAACCTTTTGTTACGGATTTGACCTCCTTCAGCTTACGTTATTAAACCCCGTGCTACGGAATTGACCTGTTTCAGGTGACGTTATTAAACCCCGTGTTACGGAAATTACCTCCATCAGTTGACGTTATTAAACCTTTTGTTACGGAATTGATCTGTTTCAGCTGACGTTATAAAACTCCGTGTCACGGAATTGACCTCCTTCAGCTGACGTTATTAAACCCTGTGTCACGAAATTGATCTGTTTCAGCTGACGTTATTAAACCCCGTGTTACGGAATTGACATCCTTAAGTTGACGTTATTAAACCCCGTGTTACGGAATTGACCTCCTTCAGCTGACGTTATTAAACCCTGTGTCATGGAATTGATCTTAGATCAAATATTATTAAACCCGGTTACGGAATTGATCTTTCATCTGATATTAAACTTTTGTTTCGGAATTGATCTTTCATCTGATATTAAACTTTTGTTTCGGAATTGATCTTTCATCTGATATTAAACTTTTGTTTCGGAATTGATCTTTCATCTGATATTAAACTTTTGTTTCGGAATTATTCTTTCATCTGATATTAAACTTTTGTTTCGGAATTGATCTTTCATCTGATATTAAACTTTTGTTTCGGAATTGATCTTTCATCTGATATTAAACTTTTGTTTCGGAATTATTCTTTCATCTGATATTAAACTTTTGTTTCGGAATTGATCTTTCATCTGATATTAAACTTTTGTTTCGGAATTGATCTTTCATCTGATATTAAACCCTGTATTCCGGAATTGATCTTTCAGGTGATGTTCTGCGGGTCAAGTGTCCACTGACCATCGGCAAGGGAGAGGGCAGATTAGATTATCAAGGATTGCTTTGGAATGTAAGACATGTAATGTTAATCTACCACAATACAAGGCACTGTGTTTAACTGCAGCCATTATGCTCACTGATTTGACTGTAAAGTGTGATCCCTTCAACAAGATGTAACCAGCCTGTGTGGTCATTTTGGCTAATTGTGTTACAATACCCACGTGTGTTTATTTTTTTCAGTTTCAGGTGTATAAATGCAACCCTGTCAGTTTCAACAACCCACAAGAACTGACTCCAGCTACCCCCCTGCCGTAACAGCTGACTCCGTCTGACCCAGTCTCTCTGACCTCTCACCTTTACAAGGCCGTGTACCAGAATGTAGTAAGACATGAACACTTGTCTTTCGATTCTTGTGAGCGAGAAGAGTGTCAGCGTGTAATCTAATAACACAATAAACGTCTTTGAGCATTGACTGTATTCTTGTGTAAAAACATAGTATCTAAACATTTTAGATATACCCTTGCTTATGAAACTTGGTACCACGACAGACAGAACAATACACACTCTTTCTTTGGACATATAATTATTTCTTATGACTATAGAAATGGTTATGTCGCTTCCATGTAAACAATAAGCTCGACGGTATCGCCTGAGTGAGTGAGTGAGTGAGTGAGTGAGTAGGTGAGTGAGTGAGTGAGTGAGTGAGTGAGTGAGTGAGTGAGTAGGTGAGTGAGTGAGTGAGTGAGTGAGTGAGTGAGTGAGTGAGTGAGTGAGTGAGTGAGTGACCACTAGATTACCCGACCACCAACAGTATCTACAAGATTTAGGTAGTGAGTGAGTTCTATGGATCACACATTATTGTGGATGGATCACACATTATTGTGGATGGATCACACGTTACTGTGGATGGATCACACGTTATTGTGGATGGATCACACGTTATTGTGGATGGGTCATCCGTTATTGTGAATAAATCAAACATTATTGTGAATAAAACACACATTATTGTGGATTGATCACACGTAATTGTGGATGGATCACACATTATTGTGGATGGATCACCCGTTATTGTGAATAAATCACACATTATTGTGAATAAATCACACATTATTGTGGATTGATCACACGTTATTGTGGATGGATCACACGTTATTGTGGATGGATCACACGTTATTGTGAATATATCAAACATTATTGTGAATAAATCACACATTATTGTGGATGGATCACACATTATTGTGGATGGATCACCCGTTATTGTGAATAAATCACACATTATTGTGAATAAATCACACATTATTGTGGATGGATCACACGTTATTGTGGATGGATCACACGTTATTGTGGATGGATCACCCGTTATTGTGAATAAATCACACATTATTGTGAATAAATCACACATTATTGTGGATGGATCACACATTATTGTGGATGGATCACACATTATTGTGGATGGATCACCCGTTATTGTGAATAAATCCCACATTATTGTGAATAAATCACACATTATTGTGGATGGATCACACGTTATTGTGGATGGATCACACGTTATTGTGGATGGATCACCCGTTATTGTGAATAAATCACACATTATTGTGAATAAATCAAACATTATTGTGGATGGATCACACATTATTGTGGATGGATCACACATTATTGTGGATGGATCACCCGTTATTGTGAATAAATCCCACATTATTGTGAATAAATCACACATTATTGTGGATGGATCACACCTCATTGTGGATGGATCACACGTTATGGTGGCCTGTTCTTGGCCTGCCTGGTGTCTGCCCGGTCTGTCTGTAACGTTGTATTGGGTTAGTTACAGCAACAGGGGAGCAACCGAAAGTTGTGAAAGAATGCGGGCATGGTGGCTCCCATTGGTATTATACGCAGGTCTCGCTCGCGTTGTTCGGGTGACATTCGTGGCTTTTTTGTTTCTTTTATTAGTGTAAGTGTCTGACATGCCGTCCGTAGCATTTATATTCCCTTATTGCACATGTAATTTCGGCTGCCCAAGCGACAAGTGTTTTTCACTTTTTCGCATTTTCTCCCCAGAAAAAAACGTGCGGTGAACGTGAATCACTTTCTACATAGAGCAGTGTTGTGTCTGGATGATGTGTTTTGCATTGATTTAGTTTGAACTTGTGTTTTTAAATTTTAGCAATTCATTTTGTAAGTGTTAAATTTCTTTTGGCCGTCAATTTAGCTGTTACCACTGACAAGCCCTGTCATAACATAAAGATTATATGTAAGCAGCACTGCATTAATGCATTTTCCGATACTGCCACACAGAAGGCCTGTATGCTTCCTGAGCATATATAAAACGACAACGCGGGAAAATAACCAGTCTCGATTATCCGCCAAAACAGATTATATTGAGCGTAAAAGTCAAAATAACGGTGACAATAATATGTTTATAGAATTATAAGTAAAGAAAAGGGTTTAAGAAATATGTTTGTTTTGCAACACAGTGGGAGGTATTGTTAATAAAATTGACCCAAACATGTCCTTTAAATTGTGCTCAGCATAGATTAATGCTACTGAGCTCATGATAAAACTCGGGTCTTTCGTCAACCAGCAGACCAGTCCAAGTAAAATATGAAACATCAAAGCCAGAGAATAACCAGTCTCGATTATCCATCAAGCCACACATCAGCACTTTCAACTTTAGGCTTTACTATAAAAAACTATAAAAAAAGAGAGAGATATGTCTGGGTCAGCAAATGTACCACTAAATCCCCATCTCAAAGACGAAACATAATCTCTAATCCACTCAAGGACCTTCGTTATATTCACAGAAAGTATTGGGGACAAGTCGAGTAAATTACACGTGGATTCCCAAAAGCTCGAGAAGTTTAACTTAAGGTGCAGGCATATCGATGAACTCATATCGCTCAACAATTGTGGTCAACTACCCAATTCACTTCCACTGATTTACCCACCTGGGCCAGAAAAAAATAGACCAGTTGAACCACCCCATCTGTTTCATATTCTGATCTGTTCATAAGATTCAGAGTGACAAAAAATCTCCACAAAACTGAATGACAATTGAGGGGACTTCACTTTCCCAACAGTCAACGTTCCTTTTATGTTGAGCCATATTCCAGCATCCACAGCCCCTAGTGTCCACCAGGTTCACCCATACTTGCCGCAAAAGGCGACCATGCTTGTTGTAAGAGGCGACTAACGGGATCGGGTGGTCAGGCTCGCTGATTTGGTTGATGCATGTCATCGTATCCCAATTGCGTGGACCAATGCTCATGATGCCAATCACTGGATTATCTGATCGAGACACGATTATTTACAGACCGCTGTCAAATAGATGGAATATTGCCGAGTGCGGCGTTAAACAACAAACAAACACAACTTTTGAAGTACAGTCGAGAATGCCCTTTCTGCGAAGATTTCAGATTGCTCAAAAGTTGTTTTGTTGAGGATAAAACACGTCCGATGACTCATCTGATGTTAAATTTCATAAAATCTTTTATCTTATAAAAAGAAAGAAAACCTGACATTTACCCACAATTTCTGTTTCACATTACTTTCCACGAATCTTAGGAAACGGACGTAAAATATGTCTTGCTGGCGAACATCTGATTTATTTGAAAAAGACATTTTTAAATCATACTGGTTTATATTGACTGACTGACTGAGTATGGTTTTACGCCGCTTTTAGCAATATTCCAGCAATATCACGGCGGGGGACACCAGAAATGGGCTTCACACATTGTACCCATGTCGGGAATCGAACCCGGGTCTTCGGCGTGACGAGTGAACGCTTTAACCACAAGGCTACCGACCGCCCCTACTGGTTTATAATTATAAGCACTCACATATACGAAGGTTGCAAGTTCGAAACACTGAAGCATGAAGAAGACAGTGTACATTCTTCCACACATTGTGTATGGTGTGTCCAACTGCAAGATCCTGGTTCTACAGTTACGTTACCCCAGTTTGAACCGTATGACGATGTCACGCTAATGTTCTTGCACTGAATTATGAGCCAAGAACTCACTGGCCATTCTCAACGAGTACCTTAACCTGGTATAATTGTACAGCACCAGGCGCCGTGCCGTAAGTGGTATGGGTTTGAGAAAAAACTACATGGGAGCAGTGTGGCCTTGGGGATGAGAAATCGCTGGAAAGATGTAACCAAACTTTTAAGAGAAACTTTATCTTTGTCTCGCATGAGTATAAGGATATGGGTACATACGAAATACATGAATAATTATGAACATATTTTTTAAAACATTCTTGGCTGTAATTTACTTTTCAAAACATGTTTAATTTTATTCGGCAACAATCATAACAGGGAGCCTGTCCTAGACTGGTTTACCTGCCCCAGAACGCTTTCGTTTCAAGCCTGCAGTCGCTAGGAGGCGAAGGGCGGGGTACCAGTCTAGCTCTAACCGACCTATTTCCCGCTTTTTGACAATATAGGTACATGCATGAATAAACAACAAAACAATGAAACAATCATGTTATGTACCAGAAACCCGTTATATAATCGCGTGAAACAAAATCAATAAAACAATTATGTTATGTACCAGAAAACTGTTATATAACCATGTTAAACACAGCAATAAAACAATTATGATATTCTCCACAACCCGTCACATAACCATGTTAAGCAAAATAATAAAACAATAATGTTATGTACCACAACCCGTTACATAGCCATGCTGCACTAAACAATAACATTATTTATGCTATGTACCACAAACCCGTCATATAACCATGCCAAACGCAACAATAAACAAATTTTGTTATGTACCACAAACCCGTTACACAACCATGCTGTACAAAACAATAACATTAATTATGCTATGTACCACAAACCCGTCATATAACCATGCTAAACGCAACAATAAACAAATTTTGTTATGTACCACAAACTGGTCATATTACCATGCTAAACGCAACAATAAACAAATTTTGTTATGTACCACAAACTGGTCATATAACCATGATAAACAAAACAATAAAGCAATGTACCACAAACTCGTCATATAGCCATGCTAAACGCAACAATCAACAATGTATGTAATGTACCACAAACCCGTTACAAAACCATGCTGTACAAAACAATAACATTTGCAACAAAGTTGTTTATTTGAAATATCTGTGACATGAGCATCTAGACTGGGAAACAAAGTTGTTTATTTGAAGTCTCTCTCACATGAACACAAAGACTTGGCAACAAGGTTGTTTATTTGAAGTCTCTGTGACATGAGCATCTAGACTGGGCAACAAAGTTGTTTATTTGAGTGAGTGAGTGAGTATGGTTTTACGCCGCTTTTAGCAATATTCCAGCAATATCACGGCGGGGGACACCAGAAATGGGCTGCTTGTTTATCTGAAATCTCTCTCACATGAAAAGTTAGAGCGGTCAATAAAGTTGTTTATTTGAAGTCTTTGACACATGAACACAAAGACTTGGCAACAAAGTTGTTTATTTGAAGTCTCTGTGACATGAGCATCTAGACTGGGCAACAAAGTTGTTTATTTGAAATCTCTGTGACATGAGCATCTAGACTGGGAAACAAAGTTGTTTATTTGAAATCTCTGTGACATGAGCATCTAGACTGGGAAACAAAGTTGTATATTTGAAATCCCTGTAACATGAGCATCTAGACTGGGAAACAAAGTTGTTTATTTGAAATCCCTGTGACATGAGCATCTAGACTGGGAAACAAAGTTGTTTATTTGAAATCCCTGTGACATGAGCATCTAGACTGGGAAACAAAGTTGTTTATTTGAAATCCCTGTGACATGAGCATCTAGACTGGGAAACAAAGTTGTTTATTTGAAATCTCTGTGACGTGAGCATCTAGACTGGGCAACAAAGTTGTTTATTTGAAATCCCTGTGACATGAGCATCTAGACTGGGAAACAAAGTTGTGTAATTTGAAATCCCTGTGACATGAGCATCTAGACTGGGAAACAAAGTTGTTTATTTGAAATCCCTGTGACATGAGCATCTAGACTCGGAAACAAAGTTGTTTATTTGAAATCCCTTTGACATGAGCATCTAGACTGGGAAACAAAGTTGTTTATTTGAAATCCCTGTGACATGAGCATCTAGACTGGGAAACAAAGTTGTATATTTGAAATCCCTGTAACATGAGCATCTAGACTGGGAAACAAAGTTGTTTATTTGAAATCCCTGTGACATGAGCATCTAGACTGGGAAACAAAGTTGTTTATTTGAAATCCCTGTGACATGAGCATCTAGACTGGGAAACAAAGTTGTTTATTTGAAATCCCTGTGACGTGAGCATCTAGACTGGGCAACAAAGTTGTTTATTTGAAATCCCTGTGACATGAGCATCTAGACTGGGAAACAAAGTTGTATATTTGAAATCCCTGTGACATGAGCATCTAGACTGGGAAACAAAGTTGTTTATTTGAAATCCCTGTGACATGAGCATCTAGACTGGGAAACAAAGTTGTTTATTTGAAATCCCTGTGACATGAGCATCTAGACTGGGAAACAAAGTTGTTTATTTGAAATCTCTGTGACGTGAGCATCTAGACTGGGCAACAAAGTTGTTTATTTGAAATCCCTGTGACATGAGCATCTAGACTGGGAAACAAAGTTGTATATTTGAAATCCCTGTGACATGAGCATCTAGACTGGGAAACAAAGTTGTTTATTTGAAATCCCTGTGACATGAGCATTTAGACTGGGCAACAAAGTTGTTTATTTGAAATCTCTGTGACATGAGCATCTAGACTGGGCAACAAAGTTGTATAATTGAAATCCCTGTGACATGAGCATCTAGACTGGGCGTTAGTTGACCCCACTGATGTGTACTCCTGGTCTCACGTTACCGTGTGTTTAGTTGTCAGTTGAAAGATAATGTTCGCCTGATGGAGTGAGACTTCACTACAACTGACATGATGGACAGATGGGTGTTCACGTCGTGTATTTCAGACCATAACGAGAACACAGGCAGGTTGATGATACAACTGTTTCATCCCCGGCACAATCTCATAGTTCCGATGACGTAATACATGTAAATGAACGGGCAAATTGTGTCTTGAGCTGCCTTGCCGTGGGAACACCCTTCAAATCAGGGATCGTGCATCATACATATTAGACTAACACTTAGTCACAGAAAACATTTCTTTAGAATAATTATTTAATTTATTCTTGGAAAAAACCTTTCCTCTTCTGCTGTGGAATCAAGCAAACTAGATTTGGTTAGTTTGGTCTAGACTTGTCTAGGCTCTTAGTAAAAAATACAGTAAACTACGGTTATAACGAACTCAAAGGGACCACTAATTGTAGTTATAACCGTAGTTCGCTATAAGCCTATATACAGCATATATACAACACATATACACCAAATATACAGCAAATTGACGGGATCAAAACACATTTCGTTATATCTGTCAGTTCGTTATAAGTGTATTCGTTATGAACGTAGTTTATTGTACCTAAAAATTATATATTCCACAGTCATGGCGCAGGACTACCTACCTATGAAAGTACCATAAGTATACCTGTACTCACACCCAGAAGTAAATGCTACATGGAATAACAAACGCTCGGTTTCGGCCATCCAGGTGCCCGGTACGAGTGTTATTAATTTGTTATTTAAGCGATCGACGGAACATCCGTCATGCGACCATGCAGAATGTAACATGGGAACTCCCCATACATCATGTCATGACGGGTGGCGGAAAGGGGCAGGTCGGGAGTCGGGGTCATGTTCGGGGTTACCTCCGGGGTCGTGTGTTTTGCCACATAATTCTGCATGTTCATAACAATTACGATTCTCCATCTCGCGATCAGTGAACCGTGGCCGATGTCGTGACGGACTCCTCCCACGTGGGTCGATGGCGGTAGTGTTCTGTGGGCGTTACGGGCATATATAGTCAGTGACGGGCATATATAGACAGTGAGGGGTATATAGAGTCAGTGAGGGGCATATAGAATCAGTGTCGGGTGTTTCTAGTCAGTGAGGAGCGTGTACCGGTAACTAAGGTACTTCAGTGAAGGATCTGTGTGTTATAAGCGCTAAGGTGAGTTTGCTGAAAAGACAACACATGTTAACATTGTGGTGTTGGTGTCCCTAGTTCCATCCTTTACCATTTTGATGTACTGTATATATCCATATGCAGTGCTTACTCCTCAAGAACACGCAGCAGACCTGTGAAACGTGTCTTAGGAACCAGAAAATGGGGTTTCTACCACCTTACTCGGCATCAACGTTAATTCGTAGTTTTTCGACACCTGGTATCATTACAATTTGATAGTGATTCATAAACACATGCTCATAATATAGTCGGAATCTTACAATCGATTTTCTCATAAATTACCACAACAACAGGGTGCATGTGGGCCTCTCTATAGTAATAAGTCATCGTATCCAAAATGTGTGGGTCGATGCTCACGATATCAATCCCTGGATTGTCTGGTCTAGACTCGATTATTTACAGATTGCTGTCATGAAGCTGGAATATTGCTGCGTGGGGCGTTAAACAACAAACAAACAAATTTAAACAAACAGAATCTGTAGTAATATATTTACTACAGTGCTGGGTAGTATTGTCACATATTGACAACAATTGTTCGTTCTGCATGTTATATATGGACACAAATGGTTCGTTCCAATGGTTCGTTCCAAAAGTTCGTTCTGCATGTTGTAAATGGACACAAATGGTTCGTCCCATTGGTTCCTTTCAATAGTTCGTTCTGTATGTTGTATATACAGAACAATGGTTCGTTCTATATGTCATTAAAGAAAACTATAATGATGTACGATGACGCCCGATGAAATTCTCTCTTCACATGTACCATATATATGTGTGTGTGTTTTCTGCGTTGTTCAGGTGAACACTTGCATGTGTTTGTGATGGGGCAGGATGGAGCAGGATGTTGTCACGTTTTAGTACCCAGCCAGCATCATCTTTAATTGAAAGGGATTCATCAACACATGCTTATGATAAGGCCGAGGTATTTCTTATGAGTTTGGAAATGGTTTTGTAGCTGTTATTTACACGCTCCTTATAATGTCGTCATTATTTAGATGTAGACGGATCGCAGATCCAGGGAGTGAGTGAGTGAGTGAGTTGGGTTTAACGCCGCTTTTAACAGTGTTCCAGTTATATCACGGCGTGTCAACTTAATGTGGGAGGAAAGCCCGAAGTGAGGCAGGTCTCAGGCGTTTACCACTTCGGTGAAACCCACGAGCACGGGTATGGTGCTGACAAACCTAGAAACATAATCGGGGATTCGAACCCACAATCATAGGTTTCTGGCGTGCCAAAGGGACGCAACGCTGCACAGCGAATCGCGGCGCCTAAGACGACTGGGCCACCCGTGCCCCCCATATCCAGGGAGTGAATAAGGGATACAACCCACCAATGGCAGTCACAAGCGCTGAGCCTGACAGTCTGTATCTGTGTTCTACATTGTGTCTGACAGTCTGTATCTGTGTTCTACATTGTGTCTGACAGTCTGTATCTGTGTTCTACATTGTGTCTGACAGTCTGTATCTGTGTTCTACATTGTGTCTGACAGTCTGTATCTGTGTTCTACATTGTGTCTGACAGTCTGTATCTGTGTTCTACATTGTGTCTGACAGTCTGTATCTGTGTTCTACATTGTGTCTGACAGTCTGTATCTGTGTTCTACATTGAGTCTGAAAGACGACACAAACGTCGCCTAGATATTTCTCAGACATATTCCATATAGAGGATTCATCACGAATGTTTTTTAATATGGGAAATATCAACCGAGTCTTAGTTAATCAGTATTTGCCGAGCCTTTGGCGAGGCAAATACCGATTAACGGGACGAGGTTGATATTTCCCATATTAAAAAACACGAGTGATGAATTCTATTTATCATTTTCACATTTTTGCTTCCAAATTAAGGAATAATTGCATTAAACATTAACATCAGCAACTTGTCGAAATCTTACGTATAGATCGTGCGTAGTGATACATGTTTTCCATAGCCATGTAAACCAAAATAAACAATTCGCTGAGAAAAAAAGTTCCTCGGATTATTTTAAACAAAATACTTGAACAGACTTTTGCAGAATAATTGAAAATTTAATAACGGTAACAACAACGATTCTGTGTAATCTGATTATATCTCTGGTGTAACTTCACTTATAATATATAGTTTCAAATCAAACCGCTCGCTCTTCCGGTTATCTAATTTGCATATCTAATTTGCATACTTATGTCATTGGGGTATGACATACATGTTTTTATGTCATAAGCTTATGGCATGGATAAATGCTTAAGTTAAATGATAAATGTCTATAATCCATATTAGATATGTGGAGGACATTTCCAAATTTGATGCGTCAGTGACCAAATTTTATGTCCGTTGCAATTCCCTGTATTGACTTGTACCATATGATCAATTGGTGAACAATTGTCTTGCCTTGGCATGTGTTTGTTATGGGTGCCACCGGTCTGGCAGGATACGCTCACCTTTTGACGAACACCTGGTGTCATCACTATTTGATAGTGATTCATAAACACATGTCATGCTTATGATATAGTCGGAAGGGTACAATCGACTCTGCTTTATGCAGAGATTTCTATTGGAAATGGAAAGGGTTTTGTGCTTCATTTATATAAGCTTTTGGAGTTAGTCGGACGGACGCAAGTTACCACACTCCTTATATGGTTGCTGATGTTCTCTACCTGCAAAACAAACATCTGCTGCTGTCAGAACTGGTGTCACTGGGCGGCAACTAGACTGTAAAAGATTAAGCATGTGTTTGTTTCCTCGACAACACGTACAACTGCTAATGGATGTTGATGAATGAGATTCTTCAGCTGTTATATTATTACCGGCAATCAATCTCCACTATTTACAACATGGTGTTGTCTGTTTACTGTCCACGTTAGACTTCCTCGTGTGTGCAAGGCTGTGTGATCACGTGGTAAGAGCGACCACATTCCTGGGACACTAATTGTGTGTGTGTGTGTGTGTGTGTGTGTGTGTGTGTGTGTGTGTGTGTGTGTGTGTGTGTGTGTTTATGTATGTGTCTGTGTGTGTGTTTGTGTGTGTTTATGTGTTTGTTTGTATTTGTATGTGTTTGTAGTTGTGTGTGTATGTGTTTATGTGTTTGTTTGTATTTGTATGTGTTTGTAGTGGTGTGTGTATGTGTTTATGTGTTTGTTTGTATTTGTATGTGTTTGTAGTGGTGTGTGTATGTGTTTATGTGTTTGTTTGTATTTGTATGTGTTTGTAGTGGTGTGTGTATGTGTTTATGTGTTTGTTTGTATTTGTATGTGTTTGTAGTTGTGTGTGTATGTGTTTATGTATTTGTTTGTATTTGTATGTGTTTGTAGTGGTGTGTGTATGTGTTTATGTGTTTGCGATGTGTCTGTGTATGTGCATGTTTGTGTGTGTCTGAGTGTATGTTACCGTTTGTCGGTGTGTGTGTGTGTGTTTGTGTGTGAGTGTGTGTGTATGTTTTGTGTTTTGTGTGTTTAGGAGAGATATGTGGGAGCACTCGCCAAGGTCCAAGGTATCATTAGGTTGTGTGTGTTTGTGTGTATGTGTTTCTTTGTTTGTGTGTGTTTATGTGTTTGTGTAATGATGTGTTTTTGTTTGTATGTGTCTGTGTGTTTCTGTTTGTGTGTGTTGGTGTATGTGTATGTTTGTATGTGAATGAGTGTATGTTAGTGAGTGTATGTGGGTTGTTTTTTTTGTGTGTGTGTGTGTTTGTGTGTGTGTGTGTGTGTGTGTGTGTGTGTGGTTGTGTGTGGTTGACGCACTGCCTTCTATCACCTGTCATTATGACCTGGTTATGCCTGCGTCAACATATGTTACGCTTCAGTAGGCATCCACTGTCGCGTGAATGGCACAATATCATATTAAATCCCATGAACTGAAGCCATTGTTAAGAAATTAGTTTTAATCCAAGACTTATGATACAATTGTCCTTCAAGATGGGATTCATGGCACTTGTTTAATAGCATAAACAATACGTATAGTAATGTTAAAGCTACTGTAACTTTGAACGTTGAAGGAAATTTCTAGACTATCGTTTAGTCCGAGAAATAAGTCCTTTTTATTTATAAATATATATCTGCAAAATATAAAATAAAATCCATATGGAGACCAGAGAGAGGCAATCTAGACTTGTCAAGTCATGATAGACGTCAGTTGGATGCCTTCTTTATGTATTGTCTTGGGAGACCTGAGCAGTTTGATACGTAGGATAAGACAAGGGCGTACCCTCCATCCTGTGCTGTTTTATATGTTGGTGTAAAAAGTTACGTATGATGATAGTATTTTTGGTTTTAAGCAAATGTTAAATGTTTTAGCCCTTAGCTGATCACGTTGATACTAGTTACCGACGTAGTTGCTCACGTCGTTATCACACGTCGCCTTGATACTCTGCCATTATATTCCCATGTTTGGGGTGTGGAAATTAATGCTGACTAAAGTAAATTTATTTTATTCAAAATGGGCGACACTTTATAAAAACGTGAGAGATGGTTCTATATTGACCTGACTATGGAAACTGTAAATGTATTTCAGTATTTAGGACGTACGGTTACTCCAAAACTAGACTAGAGCATTGAAAACAATCTGGATTTTAAAATCGCTCATAAGGCGATGAACGTATTATCTTCAATATTCCAATAATAGTGTGATGATGATACTCTTATTATCAGTAGTATCGCAATGATAGTACCCCTATTTAATGATATTCTGATACTATTACCCCTATTTCAATAGTATCGCAATGATAACATCCCTATGTCAGTAGTGTCAATGCATTGCAATCAGTACCTCTATTGCAACAGCATTACGACAAGCGTTTCTCCTTTTGCAATGATATTAGGACAAGTGTTCCCCCAATTTTAACCATATTACAATAGTATCTCTGGTGTAACAGCATTGCGATAACGGTACCCTAAATTTAATAGTATAGTAACGGCGATGCCCTTAGGACAACAACATCGAGATGATAGTACCCCTACAATAGTATTGCTATGGTAATACTCGTAATTCAATAGCATTGCGATGATAGTACCCCTATT